TTGATGAAGAGTAAATAATTATGATAAGAGCAAGTGGACATGTGGGCGAGAGAGCCGGCCAATCAGGGCCTGTCGATTTCTTTTTATTAACGAATCAGCTCCGATTTATGACAAAATATTATACTTGACAGAGAATATAAAGTATTCCTTGTTATCATGTGTAATATCTCTCTAAACTTTTTGACGGTGTTCTTTGATGTTCAAGTGATTCTCAGAGCTACCAACTCTCTAAAACTGAAAACTTTCTCAATTAGTCAATTCATAATTATTTTTTTTTTGAATCCTTTTCTTTTCTCAATTCATGTTTTCGTCATTTTTTAAGAGATTTGTAAAATAATAATTGGTGCAAATAAAAATTCACACAAATGAAGATTTGTGCGAATTTATTCGCACAAATCTTCATTTGTGTGAATTTTTATTTGCGCCAATCATTATTTGTGTGAATTTTTATTTGCATCAATCATTATTTTTGTGAATTTTTGTTTGCACTAATTGTTATTGATGAAGAGTACGACTCACTTAAGTTCTGCTAATTGATATTTCTTCTAAATCAAAATTCGATTTTGATTTAGCATCAAAATCAGAATTTTGATTTAGAATCAAATTCAGAATTTTGATTTAGAATCAAAATCAGAATTTTGATTTAGAACATTTCTTTTTGTTTGTTGATTAAAAGTTTGTTAATTAAAACTGCAACTTGCACCCAGTTATCAGCAGCAACTTAATTTTTGAAACTTTGATGTTGGTTTGACACAAAGAAAAATATTTAATTTCCAAAATTAAGATGGAACAGTTTGAGCTTCATAAAAATTGTCATTCATTGGAACATTCAAAACTTTAGGAACATAGAAAGCAATAATAAAAATTTCTCATCTAAAGCAGCTGCATCTTGAACAATTTTCATCTCTCAATTTCAAATCTGTTTTTACTATTTCCCAAAGAACTTTAGATCAGAAAAAAATCGAAAAAGAAAATCAGATAATTTCCCAAGAAGCTCGTAAGTTTTTTTTTCCTCGTTTCTTCCCCCCAACCATTCGTGGTAACTGGAGCAATAAAAAACAGATCAAAAATAATAAAAGAGAGTTTGAAAAAATGTCTCCTATTCAAAAAGAGCTAGACATCATAGAGGAGTCAATGGACCGTGACAATTGTAAATAATCTCCAAGGATTGAATTGGTTTAGAGCATTGGAGGCAGTCTCCTCCTCGTGCGAAGACTTTGAAATTTATGACTTTTCCCTCGTCGAGGCAAAGACGATAACATGCATAATAAGCCGGCAGATAACGGGTGGTACATAAGTTACGACGCAGCGATAAACGGAGATTATATATAATGTAAAAGGGTTGAACGAAAGGGATGCCATCAAATTTTTACTAGAAAGATTCCCATAGATAGTGTTCCATGCACGGTGTACACTTGTTTCGTTTGCTAAACCCTGTTTAGCAGACTACTCATGCAACATCCGATAATGTATATCTAACTAAATAAAAATTTCCACACGCAATCACATCATACTGAATTTATCTTTACATGGGGGAAACTATTTAGGCAGAGAAAATAAAAGTCCTCTCTTTCTCCCTTTGCACGATGCAAAGGGAAAAAAGAGGAGAATTTTATTTTTAATCTTATTAATTATTATTAAATTATCTTATTAATTTAATCTTATTATTTATTAATTAAATTATTAATTTTATTTTATTTTAAAAAAATTTCTTTGCTAACAATTTTCTTCTCTAGACCTATGAATATTGTTCATCATTTACAATCTGACTTTTCTCACCCAAAAAAACAGGCTTCGCTTTCATTTACTAAAATCTACTATTTACTACATTTTTTACGTTATGCTACTAATTTGGGTACTTTTTTTAGATTTCAGCTACTAAAAGCTACTATTTCTGTTTTTTTTAGAATTTCCACAACGTTAAATTCGCTAATACTAGAGGTGTGCAAAAAGCTCGAATAGCATGGTCGAGCTCGTGCCGAGCTCGATACTCGAGCATTATAAATTTTTTAATTACTCAAAAATATTTGAGAGCTCGAAAAATTCAAGTGCTCAAAATTATTTTAGCTTTTATACTGCACGTGTCGGATGGAATTTGGTTCAAGTTCGGATTGATTCTGCTCAGCTCTGCTAGAAAAACGAAAAGCTTGAAAATACTCGATCGAGCTTTTTGCACAACTCTAGCTAATAATATAGAAATCAAAAAACTATTCTCAAAAATTATAATCAAATTCTTTAAAACCATTCAATTATTTTCAAAAATATTCAAAACTCAATGATTTTCTATAACTAGTATTTTCATAAAATCTTGCAAATGAATTTAATTATTTAAAAAAAAAATTGATAAAATTCATCAAAAATTCAATTATTTTCAAAAATAATAAAATTTCCACAGGAATTCAATTAATTTAAAATAGCATTTTCAAAAAAAGGATTTTTGAAAAAAATTTTGATAAAATTCTAAGCAGGAATTCAATTATTTTCATAAATAATAAAACTCATAGAAGAATTTCAATTATTTTAATATCTACTATTTTTAATTAATTAATTGAAAAATCCAAGTATTTTCACAAATAAAATTTTCCACGAGAATTCAATTATTTAAAATAGAATTTTCATAATACTTATAATATTTCGAAAAAATTAATTATTTGAAACATTGTTTATACAATTCTTATGAAGAATTCAATTATTTTCATAAATAATAAAATTCTTTTCATGAATTCAATTATTTTTGAAAGTTTTGACAAAATTCTAAACAAAAATTCAATTATTTACAAAAATATTAGAATTTTTTTACAGGAATTTAATTATTTTCAAATATTTTAATAAAATTTGTTCGAAAGAAATAAATTATTTTAAATACAATTTTAATTAAATTTATTTGAAATAATTCAATTATTCATTTAGTTTTTAATAAAATTCTTCGAAAGAATTCAATTATGTCGATAAATAACAAAATTATTCCCAAAATTTCAATTGTTTTTAGGCATTTTAATAAAAATTCTTTGCAAAATTCAATTATTTTCATAAATAACAATATTCATCATAAGAATTCAATTATTTTTAAAGACAATAAATTTCTTCTTGGAAATTCAATTATTTTTAAAAATTTTAATAAAATCGTTCGCAAGAATTCAATTATTTTTAGAAATAATAAAATTCTTTTTAGAAATTCAACTATTTTCATAAGTAATAAAATTCATCGCTGAATTTTAATTATTCTTCATACAATTTTAATAAAACTTCTCGAAAAATTAATTATTCTTAAAAAATTTATTGAAATTTCTCGAAAGAATTCAATTATATATCTTTATAAATAACAAAATTCTCCTCAGAAATGCAATTATATTTTAAACAATTTTAAAGAAAATCTTGTCAAGAATTCAATTATCTTTATAAATATAATAAAACTCTTTCCAGAAATTTAATCATTTTTAGAAATTTTATAAAAAAAATTCTTTGCAGGAATTCAATTATTTTCATATATAAATAACAATTTTCATCACAAGAATTCAATTATTTCTAAAAGTAATAAATTTCTTCTTGTAAATTTAATTATTTTAAAAAATTCTAATAAAATCGTTCGCAATAACTCAATTTGATTATTTTCATAAATAATAAAATGCTTTTTAGGAATTCAATTATTTTCAAAAAATTTAATAAAATGACTAAAATGACACACAGGCATTTAATTATTCTCAAAAATTGAAATAGAATTCTTTGTAAAATTAAATTATTTTTAAAAACTTTTCGCAATTCAATGATTTTCAATATCTACTATTTTTTATAAAATTTCCAAATAGAATTCAATTATTTAAAAATTTTTTGTAAAAATTTTGGTGAGGAGTCAATTCTTTTCATGAATAATAAAAATTTCTTAGGAATCCAATTATATTTGAATTAGAATTTGCATAAAATTAGTCGAAAGAAATGAATTATTAAAAATTTTTTATAAAACTCTTTGCAAGAATTAAATTCTTTTTATAAATTTTTAAAATTCTTTTATGAATTATAAAATTCGTTGCAGGAATTCAATTTATTAGCAGTAGGATAAGAAAGAAGTAAATATTTTTGATAAAAGTTAGAAAAAAGTCAGGAAAATAAAAAATATGGAATGGAAGTTTTGTCAGCTTTGCGAAGTGTCTAAAACGAATTTTTTTTGTCGTCAAGTTTAATTTTTCGATAACTACTTTGCTACTACTTTTTTTTAGTTTGAAAGCTACTTTTTTAAAATTACTTGTCGTGTGCGAAGTCTGAAAAAAATCTAAATTTCATACCAGTCCATTTATTACCATCTCTATTCTAGATTATAATATATCTAGTAAATGATGTATTACAACTTATTTTTTTTCTGAAAGTAAAGTCTACTCAATATTTTCGTATAAATCGGAAAAACTATAGGATTCTTTTTCAAATCTTGTCTCATCATGTTTGATAAAATGTAATCAATTGAGATTGAAACGGTTCATGTATATTTCGCGAGAGAAAAGTTGCAGTTGCAGTTTCTGTTTTTTTTTCTTTTTTAGAAAGATTATCGTCAACGATAGTGCATCAAGATATGTATCAGGTTAGAATTCATGACCAACTTACATGTCTTAATCGTGCTATACTTCCTGTATAGCAGAAGCTACTAGTGAATCATCAAATCATGAGGAGAGGTCATTATAAATTTTCTTTAAAGATTATCTTCTAATCTCATTTTTTTCCCCTTATTGCTATAATATTGTTGTAATCATTTTTTTTGTACCAATGTGTGATGTTTCAATTTATTATTATTAATTTATTATTACTATTTATTATTACTATTTATTATTATTTAACTTATTGGGTTGAAGTAAAATTATTTCTATTACTTGGTTGTTTTTAATAATAAGATTAATAATTATTAAAATTATTAATATTGAATAAACTTTTAAGTCCGAATTGATTTTACCTACTATTCCAATTAAAATTATTAATTATTAAAAATTATTTATTATAAATAAATTTCAACTCACTTTATGTTGTTCTTTCAAAAATCTTCAAAAAGAATCACATGTTCCAGCCGCCATAATGTTTGTTGATTGGATTTATTTGACTTTGCGGAGTTTCCTGCTTCTGAAATGATAATTAAAGTGCAGGTGTTATCAAAAGAATGTCCTTTTCTTAATTATGTTTTTTTAAATGTTTTTTAAAATGTTTTTTTTAAATAGGAGAAGGACAAGTAGTAAAGTTTAAAATAGCAGCAGGAGCAGCTGATAAAATTTAGAAAAAAGCGCCGAATCGGGATTTTTAGATTCGTTTCGATCACAGGATGATAAGAGTATCCTGTCATTCTTATCGCCTTTTATATGATTTTCGTTTTTATCACCACAGGCGGTCGAGTTCGTTACTATTATGAACTTATTTTCATTTCTGTTTTCTTTTTATTTCAAATTTTTACAGTTAATTAACTCCATTTACTTTTTTTAATAATTTTTATTGTTTATCCAAAGCGGTTTGTTTTCCTAATTTAAAATTTTTATTTATTCCTTTTTTTAATTGTTTCAGACTGGATGGCCAAGGAGACGAAAACCAAAAAGCAAATGATCGGTAAGTCGATTTTATTTTCTCATTCTAATTTTTTTATTCCTACTCTTTTTCCATTTTTTTTCTATTTTTCAAAAAAAAAGTTAATCTCTTTGAAAAATAGAAATAGTAAAATAAAGCGAATTAAACGAAATAAATAGAAATAGCAAAAAAAAATTACGTAATAAAAAAAGTGTGAGTAAAAATATAATGATAATTAACTGCCGAGAACGAAGAAATACGATTATATTTTCGATGAGACAAAACTAATGAAGCGTGAATATTTAGAATTTGTAAAAAAAAAAATGTACATTTAATTTTAAGAGCGTTTTTAAAATCAGAGTTTTATGTGTGTATTCAGAAAAGACTAAAGCTCAAAGTGCACCTGCACCCACTTCTTCGAGTCTTTGCCCAAGATGCAAAGCGAATAATATTAATGATGCCACTGGTCTTTACATATTTATGGTTTTCGACTTCCTCCCATTGTCTTTTCATCGGCGACTATTTCTCCAGCGTCGATTATTTTATACTTTTTGCTCCTTTTTCACTTCACTTTAAATAACTTTAAAAAAAGAAACTAAACTGAACTAAACTTTTTAAACGCTGTTTCATATTGAATTGAATTTTAATCAAAAAATATTATAATTAAATTTTTGGGAAAAATTCGTATAAATTCAATTATTTTCAAAAGTTTAATAAAAATCTTGGCATCAATTATAATTAACACAATTTTTGCAGATTTTCAATTACTTTCAGAAATTTTAATAAAATTTCTGGCAAGAATTTCAATGTTTTTGTTAAATAATAGAAATCTTTATAGGTACAGAAATTCAATTATTTTCAAATCATTATTCTAATCATTTTTAGGAATTTTAATAAAAATTCTTTGCAGGAATTCAATTATTTAAAAATAATTTGACTTAAATTCATTGCAGGAATTCAATTATTTTCAAAAATTTTTTAAAAAGTATAGTCAATTATTTTTCAGAATTTTAATAAAATTCATTCCAAAATTCAATTATTTTCACATTGTAACAATATTTATCACAAGAATTCAATTACTTCCATATTATAACAATATTCATCACAAGAATTCAATTATTTTTCGGAATTTCAATAAAATTCTTTCCACAATTCAATTATTTTCAAAAGTAATAAAATTCTTTCCAGAATTCAATTATTTTTATAAATAACAATATGCATCACAACAATTAAATTATTTTCTAAAAGAGTAAAATTTTTTGCAGAAATTCAATTATTTTCAAAATTTTTTAAAAATTATCGTCAAAATTCCAATTATTTTAATAATAATATAATTCTTCGCAGAAATTAAATTATTTTCAAAAATTTAATAAAATACTTCTAAAAAATTCAATTATTTTCGAAGATAATAAAATTCTTCGCTAAAATTCAATTATTTAAAAAAATTATTGTCAAAATTGCAATTATTTTTATAAAAAATAAAATTATCGTCAAAATTTTAATTATTTTTGTAAATAATAAAATTCTTCTCCAAAATTAAATTATTTTTAAAAATTTTAATAAAATTCATGTCAACAATATTATATTCGAAAAATTTTCTTAATTCAATGCTTTTCAAAATCTACTAATTTAATAAAATTTTCCAATAGAATTCAATTATTTAAAATAGAATAAATTTGCAAAAAAAAATTCTGAAAAAATCTAGTAATTAAAAATTTACTATAAAATTCTTTGCAATAATTTAATTATTTTTATAACTAGGATTAATAATCTTTTTGGGGATTTAATTATTTTTCAACAGTTTTGATAACTTTTTTTCGAAGGAATTCAATTATTTTTAATATAATTTTTAAAAAATTTATCAATAAGAATCAATTATTTTAAAAATTTTAATGAAATTCTTTGAAAGATTTTTATTATTTTTAAGAATTTTGATGGCAATTCTTTATAAGAATTAAATTATTTTCAATATAATTTTAATTGGATTCTATGAAAAAATTAAAAATTTTTTAAAATAATTGAATTTTCGAAAATAATTTTATCTAAAAAATGTTTTGAAATAATTGAATTCTGGTAAATAATTATATTATTTGTAAAAATAATTGAATCGCTGTAAAAAAATTTAATTATTATGAAAATAATTTAATTATTGTGTAGAAAGTTATAAAAAAATTTGTCAATAATTGAATTCCTGAGAAACTTTTATTATTTTTGAAAATAATGAAATGTTTGCGTAGAATTTTATTAAAATTGTTTTTAAAAAATTGAATTCATTTGGAAAATTTTATTAAAATAGCAGATATTGAAAGTCATTGAATTGAGGAAAATTTTTGAAAATAATTGAAATTTTGCCAAGAATTTTATTAAAATTTTTGAAAATAAATGCAATTTTCCAAGAATTTTATTAAAATTTTTAAAAATAATTGGATTTTAAAGAAGAATTTTATTTTTTACAAAAATGATTTAAATTCTAAGTTCTAAAAAATTTCTAATTAAATTAATTGAAAATTGAAATTTTTTAAAATTTCAAATTGAAACCTTTCGAAATTTATTTATTTATGAAAATTATTGAAATAAAATTTGAATTTATTTTCAATATAATTCAGCGATGAATAAATTTTATTATTTATGAAAAAAATTGAAATATTGTGAAATGAGAATTTGTCAATAATATTGAATTCCTGAGAAACGTTTATTATTTATGAAAATAATTAAATGTTTGCGTAAAATTTTATTAAAAATTTTTAAATAATTGAATTCTTTTGGAAAATTTTATTAAAATAGCAGATATTAAAAATCATTAAATTGAGGAAAATTTTTGAAAATTATTATTAAAATGTTGACAAGAATTTATTAAAATTTTTGAAAAAAAAGAAATTTTCCAAGAATTTTATTAAAATTTTTGAAAATAATTGAATTTTGGAGAAGAATTTTATTATTTAGAATAATAATTTAAATTCTAAGTTCTTTAAAATTTCTAATTAAATTCATTGAAAATTGAAATTTTTTAAAATTTCAAATTGAAACCTTTCTCGAAATTTTTTTATTTATTAAATTAAATAAAAATTATTTAAATAAATTAAAATTTTAATTTGACAAGAAAGTAAATAAATTTCATATTAGTTTAATAATTCCAATTATTTCATTTGAACGTTCAGAATTTTAGGAGCATATGAAATAAATTACAGTTTTTCTAAAGATATTAAATTGAGACAAAAAAGGAAGCAAATGTGTTGCGAAGAAACATTTTGATTTCTTTTTTTGTCTGAATTTAATATTTTAAAAAAAAATATGACGTCAGTTAGAGATAAAATAATATTTTCTTCTTTTAATTTTACAAAAATTAAAAATAAAACAGTATAATTACAATAACAGAGTTAAATTTGTTCGAAACTTGTACTAAATTAAAAAAATTTATTTCCAAAATAAATAACACCCAATCTCTAGATACACTTTTTTTCAATTTCTGTTCGATAAGATTAAAATCCATAATTCATGGGAAAATATAACGTTTCTGTTCTGTTCTTTTTTTTCCTAACTTTTATTGCTTTTAATTAATGATCTCTTTATTACATGTAGTAAAAAATTTAATATATATAATTTTTTTCGTGTGTGTGTGTAAAGAAGCGTTTGGATCTAATCTCTAAATTGTAATGCTGTTGACTTTCTTACAAGATAAACAGACTTTTATGACTTATGCAACAATATAATGCTTTCTAAATACATAAATCTTATAAGTGTACGAGACCCATCCGCACTTTCGCGTAATTAATTTTATAATGTACCTTCTCAAACATGACTTAAATGATGATCGATAAATTGAAGTTTGGTTAGTAATATTGTACACTAAAGATAATAGATAAATACATATTAATATTAACAATTAATCAGTGTATGGAAATTATTATATAGTTGACAATTTTTTCAAATATTTAATAAAGTTGAAGGCTACAAGAGGAATATGAGGAGATAAAAATTGAATAATGCAAATAATTTTTTTCGGAGTGCTTTATTATCTTGCTATATTGATTTTCATGACTAGACATTGTTTAATAAAAAGTTCTGATTGAAATTCATATAAAAGTAATTTACAATGTAATTTATGGCGAATTTTCATAAACTCTTTTAATTATTGATGAGTACGTTAAAGTGGAAAGGTTTTTTTTTCGCTCGACTGGCTTTTGTCATTTCATGAAGGAAAATGTAATTTTTGTTCGGATTATTAAATATTAATTTTGATAATTAATATTTAACTAGCAACAATTCTTCTTACCTCCTAACAAACTTCTTACTAACTTCTAACTTCTAAACTTCTTACTTCCTTTTTGAAATAAAATTACCAAATTTTAAAAATAATAGAATTTAAAAATTTTTAATTCAAATTTTTGTTGAATCACTAAAAAATTCAATTTTATAGAAATTAGAAATAATTGCAGAAATTCAATTATTTCCATAAAAGTAGGTAATTAAATAAATCGCAAAAATTCAATTATGTTTAAAATTTTTTTAAAAATTCTCGTCAAAAGTTCAATTATTTTTCTAAATAATAAAATTCTTTTTCGAAATTC